AAAGAGCACTTAACCCATTATTTAAATGTTTTTAAAAAGGTTTTTTTAATGTATTTTAAATATTTTTAAAAATATTTTTTAAAATATTGTGTGCTGATTGGGTAGTGCTATATAATTAATGGGCGCTATTTAAGATATATCCTGTATGTACGTGTGTGTGCATGTGTAAAAATTTACTAAATTATTTTCGATAATAGAAGTTGACGTTCAGAAAAGTGAAATTGAGCACGTCGAACTCTTTTTATCAAATAGTTTGAATAATAAAAGCTATAAGTACATATATTTAAAACTGACAATAAGTACAAATGTGTTCATATAAATGACGAATATAAAGTTTTACTATATTATTTATAATATAATATAATATAATATAATTATAATATAATATAAATTCTGTTCTGTCTAACAGCATTGCCTAACAAACATGGCAAGTTTTTTCAACGCAATTTTAATACTTCAGAGGTATTATAATTTTAACTCACCTGAATAATTCTATCTCCACTTCACGAGTAGTATATTGCTGAATACGAATCCAGAGAAAAGATCTTAAATTATTTAACACACCCATACCACCTGTACCACCACCTTGCAGAAATTTGAATGCTACATATATCAATACTATATCCCATCTGTAAAAAGAAATTACAATTATTGAAATAATTTTATGAATAAGCATGAGTGAATAATGAGACTTAATCACGTACCTAAATTCTACAGGAACAATTGTAACGCTGTCCACAATTTTTTTATTATAAATTGGTACATAAAGATTTATCAGACGTCCACATAGCAGCAACATGAAGCAAAATATCACTCTCAATTGAAGTAAAAAATCTGACTTTGGCCACAAAAACGGTGCTAAAGTTTTAGTCTTGTACCACAGATTTGTCCATGTGGAAGCATTATCTGATCTCTATAAATAATATTTTTGTATAAATATTGTCTTAATCATATAGCATATACAGCATGTATATTTTTATACACTATATTATATATTGCTTACCCTTTGATAATATCGTGATCGTATAATTGTGTCATTAAGCGTACGATAATCAGAGTCAAAATTACCGCCAATGCCGGGAGCTCGTAAACCGAGAGCAAAAATCAACAAATTACTAACATATCGCAAAATAAATAGAGCCATTTCAATTTGATCTGTCAAGCTGTAAAAAAATATCAAATATAGATAAATTATAATTAGTTCTAGAATAACTGTTTTGAAAACATTAATTTTTTTTATATATCCATTTATATAGAATTAGATAATTAATTCTAAAATAACTGTTTTGAAAACATTGATTTTTTAAATATATGTTCTATCCATTTTTATAGAATTCTTTTAATATAGACTTACGAATTCAAGTGGAACCACCATTCAAGCTTCCCGATATTAATCAAGACAAGATTTTCTGCAACAAATGCCAATGTCCAGAAACCTAGTAGCACCAACCCATGACCATGCGGCGGCACACTTGGTAACAGTTTATGTCTTTCAATTTTCAGTATATAAATTGAATATGGATAAACGATCACTGTCAATACCGTTGTTAATACCTGAAAACACATATATACTATTAATCTGTAAAACAAATTTATTATCTGCTTTTTGACTTTCAAGTAAAGAAATAAAAAAATTTTTGTTCATAAATTGTTCTGTTTTATAACAGATAAAAGTTAGAAAAGTAAATGATTGAATCTTATACACTCATCTTATACACAATAAATAGAAATTCTAATTGTAAATTTATATATAAAATAAATTCAAATTATGCACAATTCTTACCATATAACCATAGACCATTCCATCGTCCAAGACTGTAGCTTGTAAAATTATTCTTACTACACTTAAAATAGGAACAAGGTATAACACAAACTTTTGTAAATTATAGAGTTTGCTTCTTGGTAATGTATTCTCAGTTTCTGTCGCATACTTGCGATATATCCAAAGTTGGACAGATCCAAATATAATCAAATATAAAGAAATTATACTGATACAGATAGTGTCCATGAAACATTTAGACACGCCATGATCTATCCAGATATCACTAAAAGTTATGTTTGGTGGACAATATCTCATTGTATCCATATTAATAGACATCTGTATCCGTCAGGTTAAAATATTTAATATTGTCTTATCATTCAACACCTCTTCTTTCTCTTCAAGATACCTTACGATTCTTCATGTGACTCAAAAACATATGTATTGGAGCTCAATATATTTTATAGAATGTAGCTGTAGATTAATGTATCTGAAATATAGCATTGTTAGTTTTTAAATTATATTATATTGTTGCTTATGTTAAGGGTGATTTTATCGCTCAACGCCAACTTTTCTTTTTTTTTTTTGCCTATGGTATCTCATATCCGATTCTTCGAATCAAAGTATCACGGTTTGCAACGTCAACTTGATAGTGTGACGGTGTCATATAAACGTCACACAATCGCGTATTGTACAGTCTATACAATATGTTTTTTTTTATTGAATTACGCTTGTTTTTATTGAATTATTAGTTATATAGGGGACTAACTTTTGACTGGGACTTGCGCGATAAAATCACCTTAATAACATTTATATAAAATTTCATAATTTATTTTATTTTATAATTAACATAAAAAATATTTTTAAAAATTTAGCTCACATTTTGTATTAGTATCGTTAGTATTATTATGCACGTCATTTTTTTTAAAGAGCTTTTTGCTAAGCTTCTCCAGAGACTTAAGACTGAATCATACCTCACCTCAGTTCCCGTATTATTTACATTTAACTAGTGCTCGTACTGTGTTCATGTATACGTAAAGCGATCAAACAGAGGATGTATCTATGCATTGCAATAAAAAAAATATATAAATTTCTAAAACTCAATAGCAATGTTGATTACATAAAAAAATTGATATCAATCTAAACTAATCGCAATCTTTTAATTCGGATATTTTTTAAAATAGAAATTGTACCGTCATTCTCTCCAAACTTAAGCCGGGTCTAAATCACAAACATATAATAAATTATGAATAGATTCACAGCAGTGTTGCCAGCAAGAGTAAGGGTGCGTTTCCACTGAGCGAGTCATGCGTTGCGTCAGGCGTCATAGGGCTCCTGCACACTGGACGCGGAAATGCTTGCCGCGCGGCAAAATGCGACGCGGTAGCCAATAAACTTACAGCTCCTAAAGAAAGATGACACGTCCATTGGCTACCGCGTTGTGTCTTGCCGCGCGGCAAGCGTTTCCGCGTCCAGTGTGCAGGTACCCATACGCGCGTCACGAATTAATCAATCAAAATATCCAATTTTATTGCATCATTTCCCGTGCGACTCCTTGTGCAACGCATCGATTAGGTTACTCGATATTCTAGTAATAAAAGAATCTTCCTTTGTATGAAATCCCGAATCATGCGGAAAATTACGCAATAAAATGGAATGTTTTGATTGGATAAGAGCGAATTCACACCTTGACAGAAATGCGGAAAACAGAAAAGCAGAAGCCAATCAGAACTCGCACTGGTAGCAAGTAGAGTCCTAGATTATCAGAGAAGCGCGACCGGTGTTACGAGTCCTGATTGGACTTGCAAATGGCCAATCATAAGATTGATTTATCGGTATTATAAATGGCTGTCGAATAAATCAATCTTATGATTGGCCATTCGACGCCATTTTTAATATTTTCTAGTACTTTTGCGATACTGCCATAAGCTGGTCGCGCTTCTCTGATAATCTAGGACTCTACACTCAGCGAAAAACTGAGTCTTCGCGCAGGTATCGCTGCGCAACTTTTGTTTTGAATTGGATCCAATGAAATGCAAGACGATAGGAACGTATGTACATACATATGTACCCATACTGCAGACAATTTATAAGCAATTACATCAGAAATTTTCTTTAGTGATCACTCCTACGAATAATTGTTACTAATAAAACGTTTTATTCGATTCACAGATTGTATTTATTGATTTACTGTATCGAATCCATATTATTATTTATCTGTTTTATTACTTGTGAGGCACTTTTCTCAATTCGGTCCTGGATTTAACATGGTGGATGCTCACGTGATCCGGAAAAGGAGATCAAAGGTGCCGACACGAAGTGAATCTACTGGTTATACTGTGCTTGATAGTTTCACATTATACAGTAAAGATAAGTAATGATAATGGAAAAAATCATAAAATAAAGTAAGGTTGCATGAGTTAATGATCACGGATTAATAACAATTAGGTGCACTAAGATTTGTAATAAGAATAATATGAAGATAAATGTTCTTAAACGGATATAAAATAATTAGTAAGATTTAGTATTCACTATGCAAAACAAATCTAGTATACAAATAGGCATTCAGTAATTGATTGGTTTTATAATTCTATAGTTAACTGAGTAGCCGCACATATTACGGATATAAAAATAAAGAGTAGAATATAACGTAGGATATAAAAATAGCTAATTATGCTTGTTTTACTGTAATTTTAATAATCAAAATTTAAACATAAGTAAATGTAATTGGTTATTACCTTGCAGGGCGATTAAGCAGGTTTAAAAAGAAAAGTGAAACGGTCAGCCTTGATGCAGCGAATGAACTTCAGTGGAGCAGTATGAGATTCAGAGACGAACTGGAGATAGGAACTGCTCCACGACTGAGTCGAATCAGCGAGAGGATAGGCTGTTAACTTCCGATTGCTTAAACGTCCACACAGGTCAAGATCTTTGCGACTACACTGCCGACACGTCTTTACTACTCGGGAATAGTTTTTTGACTGCGCGGCCTGCGTGGTCCATCTTTATAATTTCGCCTCGGCGCGGGGACGCTATCCCGAGACAATGGGAATTAAGATCCACTGCGCATGTGCAATCAAGCGTACGGTGGTATTCCAGCATGATATACAGGGTGTCTCAGAATAGGTGTATGACCGCTCATGGGTAGATAGAATGGACTAAACTGAATCGAAAAGTCCTCTACCATTTTGCAAAATTCGCAATATTTAACGAGATATTAATTTTTGAATATCGCCGAATGAGCGAGTATTCGTTCGGCGAGTGCGGCTCACCGCCAATACTAGCGCGCGACCATTCATCGAGCGCGGTTGCCTAGCGCGAGACGCGGCGAGCGGGGAAGAGCGGGGAATTGTTTACAGCGAAAATGGCTGTGCGTTCGAGCGGCTCATGGACGGTCGCGCGCTAGTATTGGCGGTGCAGGGCCGGACTCGACGAACAGATACTCGCTCATTCGGCGATATTCAAAAATTAATATCTCATTAAATATTGCGAATTTTGCAAAATGGTAGAGGACTTTTCGATTCAGTTTAGTCCATTCTATCTACCCATGAGCGGTCATACACCTATTCTGAGACACCCAGGGTGATCCAGGTCACCCGGAGGAGCCAGCATCTACGTATTCCTCATGAAAAACTGAGTCGAAAATGTTAATAGCAAAATGTTGAGGTGTCAATGGTTTTTGAATAGTGAGCTGTTGAAACTGTCCAACCATAAGGCATTAAGAGCGCGCCGTCAGGTGTGGCGCATTAAATCGACGATCGGCCGGCGCGCGACGGGTATCGCTAAACGGCACGGTGCCGAACGAATACTGCAAAGGTTTGATGAAATCTCTGTTAAA